GACTCAATGGGAAGCTAAAGCCACTGTACCCTGGGTGAGTGTGCCACAGACTCAATTGGAAGCTAAAGCCACTGTACCCTGGGCGAGTGTACCACAGACTCAATGGGAAGCCCAAAGCCACTGTACCCTGGGTGAGTGTACCACAGACTCAATTGGGAGGTCAAAGCCACTGTGCCCTTGGTGAGTGTACCACAGACTCAATGGGAAGCCCAAAACCACTGTACCCTGGGTGAGTGTGCCACAGACTCAATGGGAGGTCAAAACCACTGTACCCTGGGTGAGTGTACCACAGACTCAATGGGAAGCCCAAAGCCACTGTGCCCTTGGTGAGTGTACCACAGACTCAATGGGAAGCCCAAAGCCACTGTGCCCTTGGTGAGTGTACCACAGACTCAATTGGGAGGTCAAAGCCACTGTGCCTTTGGTGAGTGTACCACAGACTCAATGGGAAGCTAAAGCCACTGTACCCTGGGTGAGTGTACCACAGACACAATGGGAGGCTAAAGTGACTGGCAAATGATTTTGTTGGCACCATTATGATAGGAAGATGGTTACATATTCCTAAACATGGAATATAGTTTATGTCTATATGTACTGTATGAATGACAATGGTTGTCAGCACACACTGAATACCACTACATGGAAATGTATACATTACATTAAGTATGATGATGTGAATTATTGGCAAGGCTTGTGACATCTATAAAATATAAAGGCCACTGTCATGCTTGGATCACAGGTCAAAGATTAATGACCGTGAATAAATAACAAATGAATTCACATTTGTTTTCAGTGCATTGGTGACAGCGTATGAAAAAGCAAAGAAAAAACACCAAAGTAGATTGAAAAAATTAGAAGGTCAAATGATGGCGATGGTGGAAAGACATGAAACACAGGTATGTACAGGGTGACCTCCAGGGTATCAGTTTGTGTGGTTGTCAATAACCAATTAAGTGCACACCAAGAGTGAGCATAATGGCAAACTACTACTAGTATGTCAAAAAGGTTTTATTTTTTGGGAATATATTTTCTCATCGTATGTATTGAGTATAACTATGAATCTGTGAAAAATGATAGTTTTCAGGAAAAGATTGAATATATGGAAGTATAGTTATAACAGTTGCTATGTTACATGTATTTCAACATTGGCATCGAAGCATGCAGTTCATATCGTTGACATTTCAGAATCTTGTTATTGTTCTCATAAAATTAACATATTGCATGTGATGCTTGCATTTCCTAAAACATGTTATATTTGCTCAAACTGGAAAACAATTGTTTGTTTTTTTCTCTTTTTCACAACTAGGTACGAATGTTGAAACAAAGAATAGCTTTATTGGAAGATGAGACTGCTCCAAGTTCTCGACCACCACATAGTGAGACATCGTTATGACAACCAATGACATCACATCATAACAACCCTTATTTACTTAATTAATTAACTTCCAAAGCCATTATAAACTTATATAGCAAAAACTACTTTTTATTTATTTGACTTTTTGCAAAAGTGAATGTTTTCATATATTCAACATGTCCTCCTATATCTAATAATATTCAAATTAGCTTGGCCCTTAAAATGTATAATGTTGTGAAGGAATAATGATGTGGAATTTAAAAAAAAAAAAACAGTTAATGGCTGTATAAATACAAAATAAATCTTGAATAATTTAGTAACATCATTTTGATTGGCTTTTGTATGTAGTGTAATGCCTTATGCAGATTACAGAGCAGTGCTTTATGCAGGTTACAGGGCTGCATCGTATACCCTACAGTGCATTATGCAGGATGCAGGGCCCTGTTTTATTAAAACAACTTGAGTGTCAGTGAAAGAATGTTATTCTCGTTCCAGAATTGATGTGTGCTTTTTTTATTATGCAAATTACTGCAAATATGCAAATTTGTCACTGAAACTGTTTGTCTTGCTTCCTTATTCTGTAAGGGGATACATTTTACCACTGAAATGTGACCTATGACCTTTGCTGATGTCAGTATTTATAAGCTTCCAATCCCAGTTACACACATTGAACCATTCATTTGTGACCTTTGACCTAAACACGCTGATGTCAGTATTAATAAGCTTTCGATTCGCATTCAATTGCTACTATCACAATGTACTTTGTCACAAAATACCAACAATGTTTACACACTTCTAAACAGGTTTACCACTTCACTTGGAATTCTAATAAAATTGTGGCTGTATATATAAATAATTTATAAAAACTTTGCATGAATATTGAAATAATTATAGCAAGGCAATTACTGAAGGTTGTACGCTACCATCAAATCCTATCATCAGATTTCCTAGATTTTTATCATATAGCTTTCTTTTATGTTGTTGCTCAGATAAAAAAAGTATGGTTATCAAACTTATTTTCTTACAAAAGTTATGAAAATAGTGATTTTTTTGACAATTTACCATTGATTCCCATAGTGAAAAGTTTTCCTTGGAAAATTTTATTTGGGTACTAGTGTTTTCAATAAATAATACTTTTTATGAAATAATGCTTTAACATGGTAATAGTTCCAAAAAAAACAACATTTTGTTTTCACAATTAGGACTGGGTCAAAAATAAACAATTACCGGTATGTGTCACATTTGAAAATTAAAAACATGATATTTTTTTCACTTACTTAATAGGTCGATTACGACCCCTAATAGCATAACAACCAATTCAATACTGATAACACAAATATTTATATTATGGTCACTGTAAACATTTAACTATGAGTCACCATAGAGGGCAGTAGACACACTGACATACTGTCCCCATCAGTTGGCATACTGTCCCCATCAGTTGGCATATTGCCCCCATCAGTTGGCATACTGTCCCCATCAGTTGACATACTGTTCCCATCAGTTGGCATACTGTCCCCATCAGTTGGCATACTGTCCCCCATCAGTTGACATACTGTTCCCATCAGTTGGCATATTGCCCCCATCAGTTGGCATACTGTCCCCCATCAGTTGGCATACTGTTCCCATCAGTTGGCATATTGCCCCCATCAGTTGGCATACTGTTCCCATCAGTTGGCATACTGTTCCCATCAGTTGGCATACTGTCCCCATCAGTTGGCATATTGCCCCCATCAGTTGGCATACTGTTCCCATCAGTTGGCATACTGTTCCCATCAGTTGGCATACTGTCCCCATCAGTTGGCATATTGCCCCCATCAGTTGGCATATTGCCCCCATCAGTTGGAATACTGTCCCCATCAGTTGGCATACTGTTCTCATCAGTTGGCATACTGTCCCCATCAGTTGGCATATTGCCCCATCAGTTGGCATATTGCCCCTCAGTTGGAATACTGTCCCCATCAGTTGGCATATTGCCCCCATCAGTTGGAATACTGTCCCCATCAGTTAGCATACTGTCCTTTTGCTGGATCAGCCCCTGATAATTTATGAACAGATTTAATCACTAAATTGAAACCCAAGCCAGTGAAATTGAAATATTACACCACAAATTAGAAGTGTTAACTTATCCCTATCGTTAATGGTTGCTAAGCAAGTCATCTTATCAGCAATGACTCAGCATAAAAATCAACTTTCAGTTGTCAGCAATATAAGGCAACTCTTGTATCTTTTTAGTTCGGACTGTGTGTTGTAGATGCACATGTCTAGTACATAAAAAGGTCATCTCAATTTGCATTGGAAAGTTTACTCCACACTATGGTAGAAATGATAGCATGTTGCAAGATACATTTGATGGTTTGAAAGTATGCACAAGCATAGGTGAAAGGTTTGGGATTATTCATAGATAGAGGGCAGTCTTTACTGTCACTGTTGACATAGGGTACTGTAAAACACTTTCATTCACTTTTAATTAATTTTTCACTCTTTTTGCTGAATGAATAATTCAGTAAAAATAAAATACAGTGAATATACCTTTTTTTCCTTGTATTTTACATTCAACTTGTCAATTATCAATGAAAATAAATACCATTTAAAAAAAAAAAAACAGCGAAAATTAATTCCAGCTAAAATGAAGTATTTTACAGTACATGTAATTAAACTTATAATAAATATTACATTATGAATGTCGGCCCCAAAGTAAACTTGTATACTGCCTTCATGAGGTGGTTTTTAAAAAAAGCCTCTTTTTAAATTTACAAATTACTGGAATGATGCTCATTAAAGTTATGCAATTATTTTATATTTGATGTATTAAACAATTATGTATTTTATGTGTATGTATGCATTTTTTAATGTAAATTATTTGTCACAAAAATGAATAAAGCGCAATGTGTGTGAATTTCTCGTGATGTTTGTGTATGCCAAATAATTTACACCTTGCCCGTACCATCAAAGATGTAAGGGAAAGGTATATTAAGGGAAAAATTTTGTCTGTCTGTTGTCGTCGTCTTTAATAATTGTTATTGTGTGCATAATAACTTTACTAATTCTATTCCAAACTTCATCAAACTTGGTCACCTTATTTATCAGTATAAAATCTTCCCTGAGTTTGAACAACAGATGTCCTGTATTAAAATATCATACAAAAATTGAGAAAATCTGATAAAATATTTTGACTGTTTCTACTTTACTGATACACATCAAAAGTCACTGATCTCAGTGGAAATATGCATTGTTGTCTATGTTCAATGAAGCAAATCATTTATCTTGTAATAATATCCTTGGTAATGTATCTCCCAAATCCCATGGGAATACTAGACTAGGTTTCAAAACCAACTCATGAAGAGATTTTTTGCACAGTCTGATACATATTTGCAAACCTACCAATAAAATCTTCACAGAAAACAAGATGTCAGAAAATCAATATGAGCACTTCTATGAACTGGGTGCCAAACTTTGATCAAGATCTGAAGCTAATAGAAAATCTGTTTAATTCGAAGTTATCAAATCCAAAACAATACATAAAATACATAAAAAACGTTGCATCCACATTTTGAAAAGAA